CGCGCCCGGCGTGGCTCCGTGGTTGAGCGTCCACTCTCTGAACCAGGAGCTCACGCTTAGATTCCTGGCACGTGCCCGGTTGTGGGCTCGATGCCTAGTGTGGGGCGTTTGGGAGGCAGCCGATCAATGACCCTCTCTCTCTCTCATTGATGTTTCTATCTCTCCCGCTCCCTTCCTCTCTGAAATCAATAGAAATAAATAATGCCCCACTTGTTCCCCTGCCCCTAGCGGAACCTTTGGGAAGCCGGAACCAATGTGCTGTGCGGCTCCGGCAGCCGGGGGACTGCTTTGGTAAAGGACCACCAGCTCTCCCCGGAGGCTCAGTCCAGACAGTTCCGGGGACGCGGGAGTGAAGCCTTCCTCTGCAGACATGCACCGACAGAACTTCCGACCCCCGACTCCTCCTTACCCCGGCCCGGGGGTAGGAGGTTGGAGCAGCGGGAGCAGCTACCGGGGTACCCCGGGCGGAGGCGGGCCGCGGCCTCCTTCCCCTCGGGACGGGTACGGGAGCCCGCATCACACGCCGTCGTTCGGGCCCCGGTGTAGGCCCTATGGGAGCAGCCACTCTCCGCGACACGGCGGCGGCTTCCCCGGGGGCCGGTTCGGGTCTCCGTCCCCTGGCGGCTACCCTGGCTCCTACTCCAGGTCCCCCGCGGGGTCCCAGCAGCAATTCGGCTACTCCCCGGGGCAGCAGGCCCACCCCCAGGTCCCCGGGGCAGCAGGCCCACCCCCAGGTAACACACAGCCAGCGTTGGCGGAGTTCTTACTGTCTGGCAGGCACGGTACCAGAATCCCTGTCCGTGGATTATTTTTTTTCTTTCGATCCTCTATGAGGTGAGACTATCGCTTGTTAGCCCCTCTTGGCAGACGAATAAACTGAGGCTCAGAGAAGTTAAGTAACGGTCTCTAGGTTCCCCGGGCAAAGCCTTCCCTTCCTAGAGCCCTCGGCTGCCCCCAGTTCTCTCTCCGTTGTTGGCGGTCTCGTCAGCCCGTTTCAGTGCATTTATGCTGAGCCCGGTCTCCAGGCGCCGAGCCCCGACTCCCAGCACAGCGGTCGGCTAGGTTGCAGGGTCATCGCTCCTGCACTCTTTCCCCCTTTCCTTCCCCGGCTTTGTTTTCGAACCGCACTGGCTTCCGCTCCAAGTGTTCTCAGGGGAGGACCGGTGATGGTGGCCGCTTCCTGTTCCCCTCAGTGAGAGTGAGTGCGGGAGAGGGGGCTTCCGGTGGGTGCAGGATTGCTGGTTTACAGCTCGCATGTACTGGATGCATTGCCATCTTTGCTTATGCTAAGTCAACCCCGTCCCTTTAAATCTAGAGCTAATGAAGATGGGCAGGTTCTAGAAATCTTTAAGCTGTAGGGTTTACAAGTTTTAAAT